ATTTTTGGCTGATCGTGTAAGACACCAGCCGAGCCGAGCCGTGCCGAGCCGAGTTTTAGTAATTGCCGAAAACACTGTTTATCAGCAAATTCTAACAAAAATTCAGAGGAAACTAACCTTGGAGGGAATTTCACCGTTGCTCCTAGCGGTACCAAAAAAAAATTGCCCGAGCAACTGACATCAAATCCTGGAGACACTAATGTAAAACCACACTCGGATTCCAGCTGTCCCAGATGCTTCGATGTGCGCCATTCCTTCGGAAAGGTCATTCGATGGATTCTTTCTTGACCGCTTCGCTCATTAAAGCCATCAGGATTTCCAGCCAGCCGACCATCAGGAGAACAATACTGCCCAAAACATCGAGAAAAACTGCCTGAAAATTGCCCGAAAACTGCTGTAAGATGCAGCCGGACCAAATATTTAAGTACGAAATGCGGGAAAATTAACTCCATAATAATTTAGAACTGGCAGAGCTGTTTTTCGGATAAGATACGTGACGTAGGATACGTAGGGATGTCAGACAAAGCATTTACTTAGAAACAAACATTTATTGGAACCACCAAAAAAAAATTTCTGTACAAACAAGCATTATTATTTTAAAAGAAATCAGAAGCTGATGGACGAGTTTTCTGGGCGATTTTCGTCTGGCCAAAACTCAGCAAATTATCGGTTATGGAGGTGGAGCTGCTCGTTTCCGCTGCTGCTGGTGTAACTGCACCTTCCACGGCACTTCTTTTTGGAGTTTTTACCACAATTCGTGATGAGCCTGGAGTGTGTGTGAAACGCATCGAACGAGGTGTCCTGAAATAGAAAAATGTTTAAAATTCCAGGAAAAAACAGCCATCAATTTAGCTTTTTTTAATGACTTTTTTAAACCTTAAATCCTCCGTCCTTTTCCTTTCCCTCTTCACCCCATTCTCATTCCTGCTAATCCTCCAATCACAGCGTTTCTCTCCTTTCGTCTTGCTCTTTTGTTTTCCTTTTCCATTAAGCACTGCGACCGTCATCCTGTCGCGCGGTGTTAAGACATATATGACTTAATGGACCGAAGCGTCTTATCTCACTCTTACCCTCTTTTCTCATACTTTTCTTTTTGGATTCCGTCGTGCCTTCGCCACTTAGACTTCTAGGATCAACCTGGTTGTTACAATCGGCCTTGCTCTAGGCAACCCTCGAAAGAGTTATCGACAGTTTAACCAACGAGCGGTTGCCGTTGAGCGTGCTACCACTCGGAGGGTATTTCACACTGCCTTCATCACTCATAAACAACACATGTGGAGAGGTTTTTGTCTCAGATTTTGGAATTCCGGGATTAATCAACGTGCCATGGCTAAGTAAATTCCGCGTAACACCCACATCCATAAATCTAACAGCCTTTTCATTCCTAAAAAGCGAAATTAATTTTATCCCTCAAATTTCCGAATCTAAATCGAATTTAAATCAGCAAGTGAAATAGGTACCTTGACGGCGAAGGTGTATAGCTGGCTTTCAGCTCCTTATCTGAACTCAATCGGATTCCAAGTCCATGTGTGGCAAGACGTCTTGCAGCTGGTGACATCTGTAGTAGCTTATCGGAAGCATGTGGTGATCCGAAACTTGGAGTTTTCCTTAAAAAAATATTTTAAAAACCTCGAACAGAAATTATCTTTAACAGACTTTTATGAAAAAAAACATATTTTTCTGAAAAAGCATTTTTATCTTCAACAATATTTTCGCGAATAATTTGATTTTTATCTTAATATTTTTCCTTTTTATGCGTTTTGCGCTGTGTAACAGCAGTACAAGACGCATATTGTCACGGGGCTGTCTGTGTATGTGTTTGTGTGTGTGTGTGTGTGTGTGTATTTGTGTGTCCCGCATTTTATGCCGCACTTTCAACTTGGAAACCACAAAAGCTAGCCGGCTGAAATTTTAGTATAGTGCTCCCCGCCAATGGGTGACATGGCAAATTTAAATTCAGCCTTCCCGTACCCGCGGGTAAAACGCACGGCCTCGTAAAAGTTTTTCGGGTAAAATCAGTATCTCGGGAACCACGGAAGTAAGGTTGAAATTTTGTGAGCATGCCCCCCCGCCCATGTACTACCCAGAAAATTTAGATTCAGCTTTCCCCTGCCCGCGGGTAACAAGTACGGCCCCGTGGAAATTTTTGACGGGTAAATTATTATATTGGGAACCACGGGGTCTAGGAAGCTGAAATTTTAGGATAATGACCCACTGCCCACGCTCAGCCTTGCCCATTCTCGCACCGACTAGTCTGATGCGCGTTGCTATTTATTTTCATAGATATTTTAAGTAACCTTTCTTTTAATCAGTTAGAAGAGAGTGAAAAAAAAAAAACATCT